GAAAATTATATTAGAATTAAATATGCCTAATTAGGTGGGTGTAAATTTGGTAATCCACATTTTAACAACTCAAAAAGTACATTAGTTAAATCTGTCATCCATGTAGCATGTTTGGAACATGGAATGACATGGTGATGGAATCTTCATTAGAAAAAATTCTATTGGGTATGGAATCGCTCAAAGAGAAATTTGTGTGGAAAATGCCTGATTATTCAAACCAGTGATTGGAAATACCTGCAAAATCAGAATAAAGTTTTCTATATGTAATTTCCCTTGTATTGAGGATCAAAGTTCGTTAATCCTCATGCTCTGTACTTAGAAATAAATTGTTGCCGAATCCGTGTGGCATGTATCATGTTCGGAACTCGGAATTTCATGATGAGGAAAACTGTAAATTACATATGTATTGGTTACAAATTGATTCAAGAGTATATTTCTTTGAGAAATTCCCGATTTTCAAAACTTGCTGAATGGAACACCTCTGAAACAAAAGTAAATGTTATTAGAATTAATTATGCCTAATTTGGTGGGTGAAAATTTGGTAATCCACATTCCAACACCTCAAAAATAACTTTTGTTAAATACGTCAAGCATGTAGCATGTTAGGAACATGGAATCACATGGTGATGGATTCTACGTAAATAAAACTACTATTGGATAGGATTCGCTCCAAGAGAATTTTTGTGTGAAAAATGCCCGGTTTATGAAACTGGTGTTAGGAGAAACCTTCGAAATCTGACTAAAATTTAGATGTTAATATCCCTTCGATTGAGGATGAAAGTTTTGTAATCCACATGCTCTCAACTCAGTAATGAATGTTTGCCGACCATGTTGCATATAGCATGTTTGGAACTCAGAATTTCATGAAGAGAGAAACTGAAAATTACATGTGTTTCAGCTAGAAGTCGCTCCAAGAGAATGTTTTTATGAAAAATTCCCGATTTTCACAACTGGTGTTAGGGAACACCTCTGAAATAAAAGTAAATGATATTAGATTTAAATATGCCTATTATGGTGGGTGAAAGTTAGATAATCCACGTTCTCACAACTCAGAAATGAACGTTTGTTAAATTTGTAATGCATGTGAGATGTTCTGAACACATAATGTCATGGTGATGGGAACTGTTTAAATAACATTTCTATTGGGTAGAATTCGCTTCAAGAGGATTACTTTGTGAAAAATGCCCAATAATTGAATCTGGGGTTAGGAAATACCTGTGAAATCAGATTAAATTTTTCTATATGTAAATATCCATTGTATTGAGGATGAAATGTCGGTTATCCACATGCCTCATCTAAGTAATTAATATTTGTGGAACCCCTGTTGCATGTTACGTGTTCGGAACTCGGAATTTCATGATGAGGGAAATTGTAAATTACATATGTATTGGTTAGAAATAGCTCCAACAGAATTTTTATTTGAAAAAATCCCAATTTCCGAAACTGGCTTTAGGGAACCCCTCTGAAATAAAATTAAATGATATCAGATACAAATATGCCTAATATTGTGGTTGAAAATTTGGTAATCCACATTCTCACATCTCAGAAATGAACATTTGTTAAATCCATCATGCATGTATCATGTTCGGAACACGGAATGTCATGGTGATGAAAACTATGTAAATAACATATCTATTGTTTAGAGTTCGCTCCAACAAAACGGTGGTAAGGAGAAAGATTTACTCTAGTTTCCCAGTTTGTTTCCCATTGCCGGTTTCAATTTCCTCCAATTTTCATGTAAAACCAGTCT